TAGGTATCGAGATAAGCAAATTTGGAACCTTAGAATAGGAAGATCATCATCATCATCAACAGCTGGAAGAGGTCCCACTGCTGGATAAATGCCTCCCCTTAGTCTTCTACGTCGAACGACAACTGTAATGTTATTGTATCAAAACTATAGTTAGTGTAATTTGTGTTATCGTTAATTAATTTTCTGAACTTAAAGCTTGTACCACCATGATTTTAAGTTTAGTAGGTATTTTCTGCATTGATCGCAAGTGCGATTGCCGGGTCGGGCAAAGTATTATTGGGTTTTTAAGAAAATCTCAGTGGTAGTACATACGGAGTCTGGAATTGTGGCCAGTAGGTATATGGCGATAGGCTCACCCCCATTACATGGGACTCATAACATAAAATACCGAAAAGTGGGTGTTACATGGTACAGTGGCATTCAGTCCCAAGATCCCCAATGATCCTCAAACTCCTAATCCCCAAAAGGCCGGTAACGCACTTATAAGGCCTCTGGTGTTCCAGGTGTCCATGGGCGACGCCGATTGCTTACCATCAGGTGATGCGTCTGCTCGTTTACCGGCTTATGCGTTTTCTTAAAAAAAGTGCCGTAATATTGACGTCCCTTCGGGGACAAAAGGCGTGATGTTATGTTATGTGTATTTTCTGCAAGTTTGATATGTAGGTGCCTATATTATGCAGTGCATGGTGAAATAACGCTTTTTTTTTAAATTCTGTATCAAAATCACCTCCAATGTGTAAATAGAATATCTCTACCATTATTGTGGTAGGTGTTATATAGAATTGTTTTTTTTCTTGCTAATCAGGGTCAGAGCGTCACGCATGCCGGCTACTCAAGTAGGTGTGTTCTCAGTATAGACAGACATCGCTACGCAAATGTTACAAAAAATATACTTTTTACGGATGGTTGAGTGAGACGGAATGTCTACTAAAATATTGTTACAGTACTTTGAATGTACCTAGATTAGGTAGGTAGGTACTATGAGGATTTTAGATTTTGAAAATTTCAATATAGATAATGCCGATCGGTTATTCACCTTTATTTACTGGTAACAGGTGATAATTTAGATATCGAAAAGAAGTTTACTTCCCACTAGAGTAAAATAAGTAGGTATATGTGCACTATAGCTAGTGCCTATACATAGGTACCGTTTTATATTAGAACTTTTAATATACCTATAATTTATAAAAGCTAAATTAATTCATTAAAGAAATCAGGCACGCCTACTGTCGCATAACATTGACTGCATTCCTAATTCATTCTCGTACTATTGATATAACTCTAATTAGAAGGACGACAAGTTGCAGTACAAATAATTACGTGGGCAATCGTAGGTTCATGGGTAGGTACATACAGACATCGTGGGACCTCATAACATGAAAGTCCCCCCTAAAATGTAGAACGTCATGTCCTAAAAACTACAATCAGCCATAAATTTTCGGTGATGCACCTGCAACCCTCAGTCGCTTAAAGACATGAAGATTATTTAATCCCTTCATAAAATTCCTGATAGCTTTGTTCACTAGTGGAGATATTCCAGGTGATGATGGTATGTTGCTTAATATGTGTCCTCGACAAATATGCGAGCTGACAGTTGACGAAAACAGAGTAGAAAGAAACCAATATGATATCGATTCCTTTGCTTTCGCTTGAAATTTTCGCACAGGTAAAAATACAATTCCTTTATTTGGGGAAAACCTACCAAATATAATAAATATATAAGTCACTACATACTAAATAAGTACTCTACCTAGGCCTACATCACCAGAAGATGATCACAAAGGTAATTAAACCACAATAAAAACGCCTTTAAATTAATTAATTTCCTATAGGTACTAATGAGATTGACAAGTAGGTGGTTATGAGAAGTTTATGTCGAACGTTTATGAATAATTTATTTGCACAGTATCCGTGAACTAGTCATGAACAATGGATGAGAGAAGGATGATTATATCAGCAAACATATATGACACGGCTCTAGTGATTTATGATCCGAACAAGATGAGTCCTCCGTTTATCTCCTTAGAAGGCTGCGCGTAATTGCAATCATCGTAGTTCCCTTGTTTCAAAGTGTATAATGATAGCATATAAAATAATTACACATTTTATCTTATTTCTGACAATGTATTCACATTAAAGTGTGCATTATGAATGCTGTTTGTATGACAGTTGATGGTGGCTTATTAAGTAGATAGTTAAATGTGATCTGAACTTGTAGTAAAACTTCTCCATATAAATTTTACGAGTTCAGTCCGACTTTGTGAGAGGATATTCAATCTAATATCAATGTCAATAGGTTTTCTATTTGTTGTAAATTTTTTTTCGTAAAATTGTAGACATACCAAAATCCTGTCTCAAAAAATAAATACCTACATATTGATATTTAAAAACTAATCTAAAAGTTGTACGGAGAGCAAAAAGTTTGTGGTATACCTCGTTAGCGATCCATATAGCGTGTTAAACACGAAGAAGTAGGTACATACTTTTATACATACTTACCTACACTGTAGTTGTCGTTTAAGTATAAAACTTTTATAAAATGTTCGTGGGAAGGATCAGAGAATGACGTAATATCTCCCTAACAGTCTAATGATTACATCAATACAATTAATTTTAAAACAATATTAAGAATTTGCCTTTGTCTGTTAACGAACTGGGAGTGGCTAGACACGAAGCTTTTGTTATTCACGCATTATTTATGCTAGATATTATTATCTAATCTTGTAAATCTTCACTTCCTAATGAATTAAATTATCAAACTATTTTGCAGGTCTATTTATTTTTAAAATAAGTATTATTTTTCAATGTGTTTACGAATGATGCAATGTTTAGTCGACAGGACAATACTCTCAAGAGTTGTTTCAATATTTATTGTGTCTAAAACATGTCTAGACTAGTTTCCGTTTAGAACCAGCTTTAGCATATGAAAAACACAAAAAGTGTTCCCAATAAAGCCCTCGCTAGTTACAAAATGTAGACTTTTATATGGATTAGCATTGAGTGGATTAGGTAGGTATAGATTACTAATATTTACCTAATGTCTTTCCAAATTAGATTTTCATTGAAGATTTTTGAAGATTATTGAGATAAAGGTGTAATTGTGTAAGTAGAATTAAAACAATGTAAGTAGGTTTTATTTTTTATTTGCTTTTAACATAATGCTTTAATGATTCTCATTTTTTCTCACTACGTTACGTATATTATTTCCGCATTGATTTAGATCGTTTTGTGTTTACATACAAAAATAAGGCACTAGTTATGTTTCTGCCAGCGACAGAGGGTGCAAATGGAAACTATGATCATTTTACTAAGTTTATTATAATTAAAATTACATGATAATTCCTAAAATCTAACTAACCTACGAGCGAATGCGTTCGATGTTGGAACAACACTGATTTCTTTTCTTAAAATTATTTCGAAAGAAGGTTTTCAATAAAACCTATTGAGGTTAAATTTAGTGGGGTGATTGCTGATGCAGCGATTCGCAGCTGGGCACGAGGCGGTGACATGAGGTGACGACTCAGCAGTTTGGGTGTTGCAATACTTCGTTGCATCAAAGTAGGTCTAATGTCCTGATTCAGCAGATATGGTCCTCGTGGCTCGGCGTTGATCACGGTGTAGGTACATGTGTCGGCACCGATACGTAACATCTCCACCCTCAGAACAGCAACTATTCGAAGACTAACGTTGAGAATAGTGCTGATCGCTATTCCGTGGTTTGTCCTTTTGCGTTCTTCGATTTCTCTCTCGATTTTGCAGATAGGATGGAGAACGGGTGTTCCTGTCAGACTAAATTATATCAGTTGAAATAGACCTTTCTTAAAGTAGCGATAAATTTTAGCTGACCAATTGCTTATGTGCAACTTCGGTGACGAACATTTTTGCCTGTAGTGTATAATTATATTTGATCCCTCTTCAAGGTAAAGTTTTATTACTTTGTACATTACTTAGTCGTCCATTAATTATTGCTGTAGTGCCGGCGCTATAGATATCGCTTTTTTTCGGTAATTATATAATTTTTTCTCAATATGGAGTATAAACTTCGGTCCAAGTGCAAAACGGGTCCGGCAGTGCGCCTTTATGGCCAGGCTCATGGTGAGGAAATCATGATGTCCGTACTGACCATTGATGGTGTAGTCCATTACGACGACGGAACATGCGTGCGCGCGATGGTCTTCCAACCTGTGGGTGCCTTCCTGGGTAGTCCACTGCCCGAATACGGGTATATTGTGGGCGACGACGAGGGGCCACCGCGTAATTATGCGAATGATTTGGGCCTCGCTCACATGTATCGTTACCACTTGCTCCTGGTTGCCCTGGAGGAGGTGGATATCCCGATGTCACGCTGGAGTGCAGCGGGGTATTTACTCCACATAAGTAATTTTCTTATTTAAAGTTGTATTAACGTATATTCTTCTCTTTTCCTTAATGTCTTCTACTTTTTGATTTCTTGATTCCATTTGCCATATCAATGTCTGGATATCCTCTGCTGTGGCTTCACGTAGATTCTTGATATTCGTACGGTGCTTGATAGCGACCCGGGTAGCTCGCGATCACAAATATCGATATTAGTTAATTTTAACGCGCTCGCGAACCGGCCCGCGAATATCCTACCGACTGCGCCAGTTATGTTTCTGCCAGCGACAGAGGGTGCAAATGGAAACTATGATCATTTTACTAAATTTATTATAATTAAAATTACATGATGCGAACCGTTCGATGTTGGAACAACACTGATTTCTTTTCTTAAAATTATTTCGAAAGAAGGTTTTCAATAAAACCTATTGAGGTTAAATTTAGTGGGGTGATTGCTGATGCAGCGATTCGCAGCTGGGCACGAGGCGGTGACATGAGGTGACGACTCAGCAGTTTGGGTGTTGCAATACTTCGTTGCATCAAAGTAGGTCTAATGTCCTGATTCAGCAGATATGGTCCTCGTGGCTCGGCGTTGATCACGGTGTAGGTACATGTGTCGGCAGTTCGGCACCGATACGTAACACACTTCTGAATAATCAACTAAATAATTAATTCAAGTTGAGACAAAGTTCCGTTTATATTTATCACATTGTTATCACAACATTTATAAACTATCGTACTTATGATATAATAAAAGTTACATTAAATAAGTCTTCGTTTTCATAAAAATACTAAGTAAGTAATTCGCCATTTATCGCTTTCCATAACCTGAAACAAATTAAAAGAAATTATTTAGCAAGGGTGTGCTTGGGATTCTTTAATTGGTGTGTGTAAAATATCGTAATGGATCTATTTCCTAATGTGGCTACGAATAATGTGAAAACATTTTATACATAAAAAATCAATCGAATGGGAAATCTCCTCTTTTCATCGAAATTGTGTTTTCATATTTAGAACTTGATTAAATCGCTGCAAATTACAAAAACATTATTTATCAAAAAGTGTCTATCAGGTACATACGTAACCCATGAAAGTTGCCGAATGTCAAAGCAAATAACTGACAGCTGTAGACCATTATTTTTAAAATTAAATATTCTTACTTTACCTTGCATATGTTTATTCGAAGTTATAATGTTTGTTAGAGGGAATACACACTATTTTAATAAGTTACATAGTAAAAGACACAAATTCAATATATGTCTACCAAGCAACAAAACAACACTATTAAATAAACGTATATTATGTATGGCTCCACGCATATATAATCATTTACTTTACCTTTTAAATCATGAAAATATATTTAAAAACAATGTTAAAACATTGTTACTGGATAAAGCATATTACTCTGTCACAGAATATTTACAGGATTAGCTTATATAATGTTACCTCATTTGTAAAATACTAGTTTATTGGTGCCTAATATGTGTTATTGTATCTTTTTTTTAAATTTGCATGCCTTTAAGGTAGAATATGGTTAATGGACACTATTTTGTATAAGACCTTTTTCTTTTGTACCCATGTTCGCAAATGAATAAATGATTTGATTTGATTTGAACACGACAAGTTAGTAAGTAAAGTAAGGATAAAAGTTAAAGTTTCTCACCTCCTTTAGTGTAGGCACCAGAAGAAGAATGTGCGCTTGCAGAGCTGCCAGCAAAGCTGCCTCCCACTCCGAAAGCGCTAGCCAGACTTTTGGCTGTCGCACCTGCGACGCTTCCAGCTCCACTCAATGCATCGGTGAAACCGAATTTAGGAAAACCATGTTGTCCAAGATTGAAGTCGAAAGAGGCACCACCATGAGGTGACGCCGAACCTGATCCACCGCAGCCGCCGCTGCACGGACTGCCGCCCTTGATATGTCCTCCATTACTATATGATCCATGCGTATTATGTCCATATGCACCAGCTGAAGCACCTGCCGCAGCTCCAGCAAATGTCGTAGAGCCGGCAACGATACCACCATGCGCACCTGTATTTCCGTAAGCTCCTGGAGTTCCTGTAGCACTCGTTGGGGCATTGTAACCTCCGGAACTTGTACCGTGCGGTGAGTTAACGTTAGCATTGTGAGAATCTCCGGGTGAGCCGCTCGTTAGAGATAAGTGTCCTCCAATGGTGGGTAATGGTCCAATTTTCCCATCGTCATATGGTTGAAGCACACCAGGTGGGCCTCCAAACCCTCCAGTATATACAACGGCGTGAGCATCAGCAGCTGCTGCTGCTGTAGCATGAGCTCCGTTTGAAGCACTGCTGTGAGAAGGTGCAACAGAGGTGTGGGTAGCGTGAGGGTTGCAATTTCCAGAAGAACAAGCAGTAGGTGAGGCACTTACTACTGGTTTATTAATATTAAGTATAGGATTAACAGCTGGCACCTTAAATTCACTAGGTTTTAATAAACCAGGTGCTCCCCCAAAACCGCCTGTGTAAATTGGCTTTTCATCAGTTTCATGAATCGGTTTAATACCAGCGACTCCAAATTGAGCATTAAGTCCAGATTGAGCGTTAGCTCCAGACTGAGCATTAGCTCCAGATATCACACTACCACCAGCTGTGGGTAAATTTACGCAGTTAGGTGTTTTACAGCTAGCAGTTGAAGGGGTCACGTAATTGTGTTCATTAGGCTTTGTTGAACCAAAAGGCCCACTGAATCCACCCATATGTTGTGGTTGTGATGGACCAGTAGGGTTTACATCTGTATTAGGTTTGGTTAAACTGAATGATCCAGGGTGCACATTTGAACCAGCCGACGGACCGCTGTCGGGATAAATGACACAGTTTCCAGTTTTACAATCAGACGAGTGACCAGAAGAAGATGGTGAGTGTGTATAGCTCACTGTGGATGCAGGAGAGGTAATTCCATGAGATCCATGTGCTCCAGAAAGTTTATCGTTAGCGCTTGTGTGAATAGAAGGGGATGGTCCACTTGAGGGATGCGAACCAAAACTTGGTTTTGTAACTCCAAATGCTTCAGTTTGGACATTAGTTGCAGCGGTACTTGCCCCAGAAGGATAACAGTTTGGTGTTGTACAACCTCCACTAATACCACCGGAGATCGGAATATTGTAAGAACCTGTAGGCGTATAACTAGGGCCACTAGGTCCAGTTACATGAGAGTCGTGTTTATTAGGACTAAATACTCCTTCAGGACCACCAAACCCGCCGCCAGTGTAAGAAGGTAGTTTCTCGCTCGGCGCACTTACACCAGTGACCGGTTTTGTTGTGCCAAAATATCCAGACGGTGCTGTTGATCCAGAAGCACTTGCTGTTGGTGCACTTGCAGTAGGTGAATATCCACCACAAGCTCCTGTTTTACAACCTTCTACGCCAATGTTACCCGGTTGTGGTGTATTATACGACGAACTCCCAGGTTGAGCATAATTTGAATTAGTATCAGTAGGTTTCAGCGTTCCAGTGGGACCACCAAACCCGCCAGTGTAAGAAGGTAGTTTCTCGCTAGGCACACTTACACCAGTGACCGGTTTTGTTGTGCCAAAATATCCAGACGGTGCTGTTGCTCCAGATGCACTTACAGTGGGTGCACTTGCAGCACTTGCAGTAGGTGAATATCCACCACAAGCTCCTGTTTTACAACCTACTACGCCAATGTTACCCGGTTGTGGTGTATTATACGACGAACTCCCAGGGTGAGCATAATTTGAATTAGTATTAGTAGGTTTCAGCGTTCCAGTGGGACCACCAAACCCGCCAGTGTAAGAAGGTAGTTTCTCGCTAGGCGCACTTACACCAGTGACCGGTTTCGTTGTGCCAAAATATCCAGACGGTGCTGTTGATCCAGAAGCACTTGCTGTAGGTGCACTTGCAGTAGGTGAATATCCACCACAAGCTCCTGTTTTACAACCTACTACGCCAGTGTTACCCGGTTGTGGCGTATTATATGACGAACTCCCAGGGTGGGCGTAATTGGAATTAGTATTAGTAGGTTTCAGCATTCCAGCGGGACCACCGAATCCACCTGTATATGTTGGCAATTTTTCGGTAGCTTGATGAGTATAACTACCTGTCGGTACATTAGATCCAGAAGTGGAAGAGCAACTAGGTGAATTGCAGCCAGTCGAAATACTTCCCAATGGTTTTCCATCATGGCCTGTACTAGCATGACCGTGGCTTGGGTTGGTAACTGGTGAAGGAGCATTAAACTCATTAGGATTTAATATACCGGCTGGACCACCGAAACCCCCAGTATATGCCGGAAGTTTGTCTTTGTCATTTGATGGTTTTGTTTCAGATGGTTTGCCATGCCCAATATGTCCAGGTGCTACATTAGATCCTAACGTAAAAGCTGGAGTTGATGAATGAGGATTACAATTTGGCGTCTTGCAGGTTGTCCCAATTAGAGCAGGAGCGTTCGATGGTGATTGCCCGAAACTAGAGATAGTAGGAGTTAAAGAAAATGAAGGGCCGGTTGCTACCTGACTATCTGGTTTTCCAAAACAACTTGACCCTCCGCAGTTAGTTGAGCTGGGACTATTTAAAGACGATGGGCCTGATGTCACATAATTGTCGGTATGGTGCCCATGCTGTTGGTTTATGTTCGTAGATAAAGAATTTCCATATGAGGTAGCTTGTGTATTCTTTGGTTGGTTATGACAACTACCACCACTACAAGAGGGATTAGTTTCAGGTTGGTTGTATGACCCATGAATTGGCACATTGTAACTGGATGGCGAACTTTCGTGACTTGGATTTCCTGGTTCAGCATTGCAATTTCCTGTAGTACACTTTTCACCTAATTTAGGTGTTTCTAAAGATGTAGATGGTTTCTGGTAATGTGTATTAATGCCAAGATCCGCACTAGTTGTGCCTTGTGTGTTAGATGTACTCAATCCTAGGTTCGAATTTTCTGAACCATGATCATAGTAACTAGACGCTGGACTTGAAGGGCCTGATGCACCACACTTTCCCTGAGAACAATCTGAACCAACGCTATTAGAAGCTATTGTCGTTTTGTCAATACTAGAAGAATGATCTTTGTTGTTGTTAGCAGAATTCGAATTTGCACCTTTGACAACATGTATGTCATTAGAGTCGTATCCCGATGGAGATGAATGTCCTGCAGTAGGACTACATTGACCTGATGAGCATTTGTTGGTATCTATTCCAGTTCCAGATTCTGATTGTGGTTTACATTCCCCTGATGCACATTTTTCAGTGTCGTGGCAGCTTAGTCCTTGGCATCCTAACCCTGATATAGCCCCCGCTCCTGCTGTTGCCGCTGCATTAGCAGCATTGTATCCTTGAGCAGCAGACCCGTGTGGCGCTTGTATGTTATTATTGCCAGCAGACTGACAGTGACCAGACGAGCAATCTCCACGCCCGTGAACTCCGCCATTTAATCCAAAACCACCAGCTCCGGAACCACTATAGGTAAATGAGCTGGAGCTTGAACTTGAACTTGAACTCGAGGAAGATGAACTGGATGAAGCCGATTTAGAAAAACTTCCTGAATAGCTACCTCCTAATGGCACTGGAACCGGTATACCAAAGGCTCCAGCAACAGCACTAGAGTCCGCTGAAACAAAATACTAATGTTAGGTACCTAGGCACTATTCAACTAACATTGTTTGTTGATGTTAGTAAGAATCAATCACAGCACAATTGTACAATTACTTTTAATTAACGACTGCAAATAATTATCTTAAAATAAATAAAAGGGAGATGATAACAGGTTATTATATTATGTACTTTATTAATACCAAATTATTACCTATCGCGATTTTATAATGACGTAAATCCTATAAATGAAATTAAATATGAACTTGATAAAATATCACAGTATAATTTTAAGTATAGGACTTATTTATGACGATGATAGATATATCACGGTCATTATATAATAAAGAATTGACAAAATTCTAATATCTTGTAATCAAAATATTTATGCTTTAGATTTTTTTTCATAAATTATATAAATAGAATATCTATGAATATTGTCGATCACTTCACTCTGCACTAAGTAAATAAACAGCACCTACCTCTTGCGGACGCTCCACCCTTGACCCCATATCCGTAGGGGGTGGCACACACTAAGCTCGTCGATAACAGTATGAAGGCACAGGTGAGCTCCATCATTGTGAAACTTCTCACTCACTATGTTTTTGTTCCGCAGCTGCTTGCTTTTATAAAGCGATACACAAATAGACGCCGGCGTATTATAGCAAAAAACCTGTTGGTATTACCGCGAATCACGGGCTGTATTAGCGTAGGCAGTGAGTATTGTTTCCCTTGCACTAAAGCGCATAGTACATTGATACATAGCTAGCGTTCATAGTACTCATAACAATGTCAGTTTCGTATCAATAATATTTACTATTATTTCTTAGTTAAAAATAAAATTATGCCTATTAGTCATTCAATCTTAATGTCATCCAAAAACGAAGGATAGCAGGTAAGCGGGAAAACACGCTGACATAATCTCATACGTACGTGGGTACATTCAATTGATGTCCTGATATTTTTGTTATTGTATGTACCTACATAGGTATCGATATAGATAGGTAAGTTTGCGATACGATGTGAGGAAGATACTAATTAGGTGGTAAACAATGTAAATAAGTAAGTAGGTACCAACATAAGTTAGCTGCTTCTGTCATTGATGTGGTTACTCATTTTCTTAAGTCATCGGTTTATTCAAATGTCGCATAGCCACTCGCTCAAGTTCAAGTTGAAAAAAGTGACAACCTTATATTTATGTAGCTATAGCTAGGTGCCACCTACCCACGCGTAAATAGATTAGATGTCTTTTTATGTTATTATACTTAGATAGCTTGACCCCTCAAAAACAGGTTATCTATGTATTCCTGCAGCAAGTAAAGATTCTGTAGGTAGGTATTTGTTTAGTTTCTAAGGGGGCATCCATACTGCTGTTTGTTACAGCGATGACGCCTAATGTTACTAACCGACCAAATAAAATTAATAGTGCCTATCTACTTGTCTATTACGCTAGAAGTCTTTCCTACTAAACTTGAGCTTATTACTAAAACAAAGGGCTATTAGACTACGTACATATCACATAATAGTACCTAACCTATATTTACAGCCTTACTACTATGTACTACCTTTTAATGAGTTCAAATTGGTTGCTTTTAAAATACTTCTTTTATTGGGTTTGCAAATCAAGTCTTAATTCAACTTTTTGTAGATATTTGTATAGTACGTATGGTATATTTTCTTGCAAGTCATTGGGTTTCCTATGGAACTAGGCGGCAGGGGTGTTATAGTTTTTGAGACCAAAACCACTGCAACTGCTGTAAACCAGGATCTACAGTAGATACAACCATGAAAATACTACATAAATAACTGTCTTGGTTCCCACAATGAAATGAATCAGAAGATATTATAAAAGAAGAAGAAAAAGCGATAGTTTCTACTTCATTCGGTAAATTACTGCAGGAGACAATGAATTAAGCCTAACGGCACAAAAAAAGACTAAAACTGGGAAAAGCCCAGTCACCAAGGACCACGGAAATTTGACTAAAAGCTTGGTTACTTGTCTTAATTGCGTTTGATTCAGTTATCTTAATAAAATTTAGTCTCGTTTCGTCGGTCAAACTGTTCAGTTATCTTAATATAATTTAGTCGTGTTTTTTGTTTTTAGAAATTTTCAGTAATAGCACGGACTCTGGAATGGTATCCAGTATTGTAGTATTATTTGATTTATTAGTACTTACTTACCAACCTCAATGTACCTCAACCCTTATTGAAGTTTGTCCGGGTTTGCGGTGAGTGATCCATGTTATTCTGCAGCTAACTTTGATATTTTAGTTATGAGTCAAACCAAATTATGATAATGATTTAGTTGTCGATAAAGCATCTAAATAGAACTCGACAGGGCCTATAAATCTAAATGACGTAAGCGAGGGCTGTCAAGAAGCGGTGAAGGTACAACTGGCGACGCTTGTCGTGTGACCGCAAGCGTGCATCCTGAATACATCCGGGTGATGCGTCGCATGGATGTTCTCATTCTCACCACAAATTCTCCACATGTATGTTTTACTTACTATATTTGTACCAGCATCCATACACAAGGATCAAGTCGTGTACTCGACATTGAATTACACGGAATATACAAATACCAGTCACGTAATGGATTGTCCTCTTATGGCTTAATTTATTTCTTTTACCCAGCTAAGACATAATAGAAGTATGATAGAATGTTTAAGTACTCGTGTGATTTTTCATAGGAATATATTAAGAATATTGCAATACTGTTCCAGCCTAATGTATGCCCAAGGTGATTTCAGAGGTCGAGGCTTTTGTAAATAATAATTTACCTTATAGAGGACGCAGCTACTGTAATATTTATAGGACGGTTAAACTTTAGATAACCATTTTGTTCGTGTTTATATCTCACGCAAAATTGTGAATATTTTCCTGTTTGCTCCTAATTTCGAAGAACCGTACAGAAAGGTCATAATAACACCGAATGGTTTTCAATGCTATTAGAAAGAACTCCATGATGCCAATTCCGTGTCCGCGGCGTATGACATCACATACGGTTCAATTCCAATACATAATGTTAAACAGGCAGGCTATCTGTGATTGTACTTCAATAATATGACTGTGTCAGTAACGGTCCATCACTTATTATTACTTCTTAATGTTTATTATTTTTTATAGAATCACTTAGTAAATGAATAGGATTCTTGCAATTTCTACCGCATATTTATAATCTTGGTCATTATCTAGCATTTTTGTGTTATAAATGATGCTTATTAAGGACATTCTATGTTACATATCAAATAAAATATCAATTACTGAAAATATGAATGTATTCGTCAATACACATAAACAACTTAAGTTTTTCATAGATTCGACTTAAATCTAAAATAACCGTACCACGTACTTGAAATAGACATGAAATTATTTACAACGATTATTAAAAACGTGTCATAAAAACTAACTAGATAAAAATTAAGTGCTTTTGTGACTGTATTCTTGTTTAGTCGGCGTTGTTAGGGCCCTCGTTATATGAACTCGTCGGGTTCACGTGGGGCGTCCAAGTCGCGGTAGTGTATCACCGGACGAAAATCGGCGCCGCCCCTTTAACAATCAACCACATTAGCTACGTTAGTGGCCACTCACCCAGCACACAAAAATAACTGCACTCACAAACACTAATATTTACTACTCAAATCAAATCACACTGCTAGATACTACTCAAGAAATTATTAATTTAGTTTTTAATCTCAGCTTCCCAGGAAACGAATTTTGATAGAGGTGTATAAAGGAGTTAGAATAAAAGTAAGTCGTATGTCGATCGGACAGTTTATTAAAAAAATACAATAAATACCATGGTAGAAGACAATATGGTAAACATATAAAATGTATCCCTTTAAAAGGTTATTGTTAGATACAATAAGGAATAAAAAGGATTTTTATGTGTCGATAAAATTATCTTTACAATCTTTTATTGTTATTTATTTCTAACATTTTCATTTATTTGCATAGATGTTAAGGGTTGTTGTAAATTCGTCACAAAAATCTATAAATTCATCACAATTCCTATTTTTGTCATTTTCCAAAATCTTGTTTCGTTTTAGGCCTTTTTTCGTAAGGATCTTTTTAAACTGTCAAACACCAAGCGGTCCCCGGTGACCGCAACCTATTGTTCTATAATTGTGTCTACAAAACCAGTACTTGACGAGTTAAGGGGTAAAATAATCGAATGACTACTCCTGCCTGGGTGAGGCGGGAGGGAGTGTCAGGCTCTTACTGACTAAAAACCACCCCGTTCCTTCTTCTGCGCTTCGAACCGGAGCCCCGTTAACCCGTTAGGTTCTCCTCGACATTTCGTAAGGATAGGTAGTAAAAAAAATCCAACCATGATATGAACAAAATCATATTATATAATACAGAAATTAAAATATTTTGTTAGAGAAAACATTTATAATTAAAAAGGTGTAATATATACAAGTATGTGTTTATAAATAAGAAGTGTTTAAAGAAAAAGAGAGAAGTAGATTTCAGTTCAGTTAAAAATAAAATGAATAATTGAAATGTACTAAAATGTTAAAAGTATACGGGTGCGTTACGTATTATTATGTTCAAGAAGTTTATTTTAAATGTTGGTTTGAACATGATTGTAAAGATATAACTTTTTAAGTAATTACATTTCTGTTTTTTTATTCGTACTTCTGTGGTTCGAATTTACAAGCGTCGAGGATATCTTTTCTTGCAACCACTACTTTTGGCAAAAATTACATAAATGCAGGATTTGTGGCCAATTTATAACAACTTCTACCTGTTCCTCTGTACTAGTTAACACATATTTTTAGTGGAAGCGACGAATTTACAACCACCTACTAAATTATACCTACATCTAAAATAGTTCCAGTTAACATTGCATAAAATATAATGACATTTACGAAACATGCCTTATTCAAAATCAAGTACATAATAATGTTATCGATAAAAATAATTTAGAAATTTTATACAAATTTAAAAAGGAAAACTGTAAATATTATACATGTGTATCAGTTTATCTAAAAAACTGAAATGTCTGGGCATAACGGAATGCTTATGATAACAATAAAAATCTACAAACTTGTAGTATATAATGTCATTTACATGCATGTTTAGAATATGTCACCACTGTCCGGGAAGTCGAGATCGTTGTACGCAATAATAGGCCGGGACCGGTCCACATTTTCTCTGTAAATTATTTCTTACAACTTAGAAAATGTACATCACAAACGCTGTAAGCGAATAATTCAAAGGCAAAGCCATAATGAATAGTTAGTTAGCTTGCGTTAATTCATACTAGCGCAGAGCCAAAGCTGTCGAAATGTCGCAAAGCAAATTGACCCTTATCTCAATAAATTAATGCACAATGTGTGCATTAATTTATTGACTCCTTCTCACAAAGAACATGATGTGTATTACATTGCAGGGATAAGGGTGAATTTGTTGTTCCATTTCACATTAACGCTTCGAGTATGCTTTAGTAATGAATTAAGATAAAAACACCGAGATGAAACCATAACCATATTAATAATGAAGCAATAAAGGCTAGTATTAAATTCAAAGTGTTAAAATCATCCAAAAATTATTAATAAATTTGTTTCAGTGTTTTATTTACAAACGTTATAAGTTAGTTAATGCTTCCACCGAAATCCTACTTCCACCTAATTATTGCTTTTATCTTGAAAAAAGTGGAAGATTTATAATCGTTACAAATGACGGAGATTTCATTGTACAATTTATAATCCCGGCTAACCGTAAACAACATAACTTTATTTATGTAACTTTAAGATACTTATGGTTATTGTACATTGGTTTATTTGTAATTCTC